TGGTGGTGGCGAGGAGGCATGGCGGGGAGATGAGCGGGACCACTCCACCCTTGCACTTCCCATGCATCACTTCCCGGGAACCCGGCCCCCCCACCTCCTCTCACCCCCCTTCCCCAATTCAAATCCCCCAACAGTTCAAGCAGCCCAAGCTGGACATCAAGAAGGACCCCAAGGGCGTGGTGACGGTGCCCGGGGCCACGATCGTGGAGGCCACCTCCGCGCGCGGCCTGCTGGCCACGATCGAGGCGGGACTGGCGAGGCGCCACGTCAGCAGCACGGCCATGAACCGCGAGTCTTCGCGGTCGCACCTCATCATCACCATCGGCGTGGAGGCCACCAACCTGCAGACGCAGTCCGTGTCGCGCGGCAAGCTGTCCTTTGTGGACCTGGCCGGCAGCGAGCGCGTGAAGAAGTCCAAGTCGGAGGGCGCGCAGCTGAAGGAGGCCCAGGCCATCAACAAGTCGCTGTCGGCGCTGGGCAACGTCATCGCCGCGCTGGCCACCGAGCAGGGGCACGTACCCTATCGCGACCACAAGCTGACCATGCTCATGTCCGACTCCATCGGCGGGACCGCCAAGACGCTCATGTTCGTCAACGTGTCGCCCGTGGACGCCAACCTGGACGAGACCAACAACTCGCTGCAGTACGCCACGCGCGTGTCCACCATCCGCAACGAGGTGGGCAAGAACGAGGCCAACAAGGACGTGCTGCGCCTGCAGCGCCAGGTCGCGCACTGGAAGGAGCAGGCGGGGCTGGCGCCCCACCTCCGGGACTACGTGGACCTGGTGGAGATCAAGGATGCCGTCCAGAACGGGGAGGAGTGAGGAGGGGACAGGCGTGTGTGGAGGGCTGGGATGAGAGAGTCGCGCACAGGGGGGGGGAGGAGGGCAGTCGCTTCTGCGGCCCAGGTCCGCGCCCCGTGCCAGGGGCCCCCGCGCCTGGCAGCCCCTCCCACCCCCGTGTTGGGTCCCAGCCCCTTGCCTTTCCCCCCGACCCCCCCCAACTCCTCCAGATCCTACAGCCCTGCGCCGTGGGCATGCCTGATTCGTGATGCGAGAGACCCTTAATGCCCTGAACCCCCACCCTGCATGTGTGCACCACACCTGTAATGATACCGCTTTTCAATCTTCCGGGGGGTGGAGGTCAGGCCGCAGGCCCTGCCGGTTGTTGCCCAGGGGAGACATCCCACCTCCTGATCTCTCGCGCCCTGATGACGGCCATGTCACGCGGGTCAGGCGGGACAGCACGGCGAGATAGCTCCACCCGGGCACGAGGCTGGGACGGGGAGGAGTCGGTGCGCCCTTATTTATGCGGGAAAAGGAGGGGGGCAAGTGTTTGCGGACCTGCAGAGGGCGAGAGCTGGGGAAGGCAGGCTCCACCGGTCCCGGAAACGGTCACAGAGAGATGTCCCCCGATCCCAGCCTTCATGGCTCAGAGGGCGAGGCGCCATACATCCACAGCGTGGGAAATGGTCTGAGGTCCGTGGGGAGGCGTGGAGAGAGGACTCTGCCGCTGGCGTGCGCGCACTCGGAGGCCGAGCACCGGAGTGCCTGACCCATCCCAACAATCCCATTCCCAGGATCGATCGCTCCAGGCTGCACAGCGTGCTCCGGGAGCTCTTCATGCACCGATTCAGGAGTCTGAGTCGCGTGCATGTGGATGATACGGGGGTGGTGCTCCTGCAGGTATAAGGCTGCGCTGGCAGGGTGGCTTAATTCATGGACAGACCCGGTTGAACCCTCCAACGCTCTCTGCCTCGCCGTGCCATGTGCCCAGCAACACTTGTGTGTGTCTTGCAGGGAGGTACAGTGAAGCACATGTACAGCACCGACACCGAGCACCTGTTCAGGTGGGTGCACCTGGTTGGGAGCGGGCACTGGCCTGTACTGCTTGCCTGATCTGCCCCCGGCATGGTGCAGGCGCCAGGGTGGGTGGACATGCATCGTGCTCATGAGACCCCTGCAGCAGACTCTCCGCCTCATACAGAGTGCTGAATCACCCCCCCCCCCCTCCCCACCTTGCCCAACCGAGCAGGCAGGAGCCCTATTTCCACTACCTGTTCGGGGTTGATGAGCCGGGTTGCTATGGCGCCCACGACATCCGCACCTGCCAGGCCTTCCTCTTCGTCCCTCGACCCAGCCCAGACCAGGAGGTCTGGATGGGCCCGGTCCGAAACCTGACCTACTACCTCCAAAAGTATGGCGTAGACGAAGTGCACTACGTGGACGAGATGGCAACGGTGCTGAAGCAGATGGCGCCGCCGGCGCTGCACATGCTGCACGGCCGTGACTCGGACAGGTGTTGAGGTGGGGTTGTTTGTTGGTGGGGGGGGCGCTGGGTGGTCTCTGTGACGGGGATATCACCTGCGCGGTCCTGCTGTGTGGCCTTGGGAGTGTGCGCCCTCTCGACAGTGAAGGAGGGATAAGCATGCTGAGCCACATCTGGAGGCCTGCCCTTGTGCAGAGGAAGACCCTTGCACGCCGCTGTCCTGCCCTGCCCTTCCACCACCACGCCACCAACCAACCCCCTTCTGCCACAATATTCCCAGCGGCCGGGGCATGCCGCTCGCCCACTTCCACGGCATCAGCGACTTCCAGCTGGAGAGGAGCGGCCTCTTCGTTGCGCTGACCGAGATGCGCGTCTTCAAGCTGGACATGGAGGTGGAGATCATGCGCTACTGCGCACGCGTGGCTGCAAGTGCCCACATCAGGGTCCTGCAAGCGGTCAGGTATGTGGGTTTGTTTTTTTTTGTGTGTGTGGGGGGTAGCTGGAAGGGTAATCGTGAAAGTTGGGAGCTTTGAAGGGCGATTGCATGGCATGCGCTCGCTCTCAAAGGGGAGCTGGATACTGTCCGGCTGGCCGCTGCTCTTGTGGCCCCACCTTGCCTCGGTGTAGGAGAGTGTGACTTCCCTGCATCCCCCCACCCCACTACTTCCCCCTTCCGAAACCCAAACACCCCCAGGCCCGGCATGTACGAGTACCAGCTGGAGTCCCTGTTCCTGCACGACATCTACAGCGAGGGCGGGTGCCGCTTCTCGCCCTACACCCCCATCTTCGGGTCGGGCCCCAACAGCGCAGTCCTGCACTACGGCCACTCCGGCGCGCCCCACGACCGCCGCATCGCGGACGGCGACCTGGTGCTGGCCGACGCCGGCGCCGAGTACTACCGCTATGGCTCCGACCTCACGGTCACCTTCCCCGCCAACGGGCGGTTCTCCCCTCGCCAGCGGGTGGTGTATGAAGCGGTGCTGGATGCGCGGCGCGCGGTGCTGGCGGCCATGCGCCCCGAGGTCTGCTGGACCGACCTGCACCTGGTGGCGGAGGAGCGGATCCTGGCGGCGCTGACGCGCGCGGGGCTGCTGGTGGGCGACCCAGCGGAGCAGGTCGCGGCGCGCCTGGGCGCACTCTTCATGCCCCATGGTCTGGGCCACTTCCTGGGCAAGCAGACGCACGATGTCGGCGGGTACGTGGCCGGCCGCTTCCGCGAGCGCCCCACGCAGCCGGGGCTGGACCGCCTGCGCACTGCGCGCATCCTGGAGCCGCACATGGTGCTGACCGTGGAGCCAGGGTGCTACTTCATCCCGGCCCTGCTGGAGCCGGCGCTGGAGGGGGGGCCCCTGCACCGCTTCCTGGTGCCGGAGGAGATCCGGTGCTACATGGTGGGCGGGGGGGGCAGGATTTGGGTGGCTGCTGGTCGATGAGAGGGAGGGGGTGCAGGGAGCGGCGGGAAGGTGAGATATCCAGGGAGGAGGGCATCGCTCGAGAGACGGGGACAGGCTCCCTGCACCTCCTCCCGCCCAGGCTCCAGCCGTCCACACACCAGCCACCGTCATGCCCCTCCCCCCCACACGCAGGGCATGGGGGGGGTGAGACTCGAGGATGACGTGCTGGTGACCAATGAGGGATGCGAGGTGCTGGCCTCCCTCCCGCGCGCCGTTGAGGAGGTGGAGGCGGTCATGGCGGGCGCGGACTGGATGGTAGTATGAGCGCCGGTCGCGAACAGATCGGACGGCAGTATGAGCGCCGGCCGCAAACAGATTTGACGGTAGTATGAGCGCTGGCCGCAAGCGCCTCCCCCACCCACCCCCCCACCCCCCAACAAAAGATTTTTCCTTGGCTGGGCAGGTCCTGCCAGCAAGGCTGGGGGACTCATCTGCTCGTGCCATTTTTCATTTGTTCTAAAGTTCTAAACAATATGCCTGGGCACACGGCAGCCTCCCCTCGGCAAGCGGCACCGCTGGTCGCTCCGCCTCTGCGAGAGCGGCGTCGTCTGCACAGAAAGCGTGCCGCAGGCGCGCTGCAACCCTTTCCAGCCCCAAGCTACTCTTCCACCCCTGAGCGGTGGGCGGTGGGCGGTGGACCCTTCCGGGGCTACATGCCCCGATCTACCTGGGCTCCCGCCCTGCCCGCCCCTCCCAGGTCTTTCTCTTTTCGCGCCGGCCCCCGCGTCACCTGCTTCTCTCCCCTCTCGCCCAGCAAGATGCAGCCGACTGCCTGTGGCTGAGCCTGCCCTGCCGCCACCCCTCAGGTGGTTCTCTCCGCCACTGCAAACTGCTACTTGCCCCCTCATTCGTGCCGCCCCCCACCTCTCCCTTGTCCTCTCCTTCCTGCTCTAGCAATGCGATACCCCAGGCTGGGGCCCCTCATTTTTTCACGACATACGGAGTTCCTCGGACACACCGTGGAGCTAGTGACGCTGCTCCCCTTTTCCCTTGTTGGCAATATGCCACCAAGCCTCCGCCATGAAGCTCGCGATGCAGCCACGGCGCAAGGCTCAGGACATGCTGTAAGCGCCGGGATGGCAAGAAAGAATCTGGGGCCATGCTGGCGTAGGCTGGCAAGATGCACTGAGGAGGTCAAGGGTGGAGAGCCCTGGCGCTCCATGCATGATTGGGAAGGGTGGGTTCTGTGGCAAGTGACATTCAACGCTGCACAGCAACATATCAGCAGGGCCTGGCTGGTGTCGAAGAACCCATCTCGTACAAGCAGAGGCATCTCCATCTGTCCCACCGCCACGTCAAGCCGTTGGGCGCCCCACCAGCCTCGCTCCCGTTGCGAGGAAGGCCAGGCAGCCCCGCTCCAGGCCCACCGTCAGCACACAGAAGAGGGCGGTGAAGGCCAGAGCGCCCAGGGAGCGCAGCATGGTGGAGCGGAGGGTGGGTCTGTGCACTCGCGCCAGCAGGCCCACGGTGTCAGTCAGGTAGCGGACACATGCCAGGACCAGGTCGACGGCCCTGGCGGGGGGTGGCGGAAGGAGGTGGGATGCAGGATGGGGCCCAGGCGGCAGCGGATCGCTCCCTCTGTCCTGTGAGTGCAAGAGTAAGCCAAGGGCAGCCTGCGCAAGCATGGACAAACGACACATGCCATCGGGGTGGCTACCTGTCTCCCAGGCCTGGCTGAGGGTCAAAGGACTGGTCCACACTGTGGAGGTTGCCATCAGCAGCAGAAGCCCCTTTTATCAAAAGCGGTAGACTTGTACCTGGCGCTCTATACGCCAAGCTAGCTCCGCGCAGCTTCCAGAGGCTCTTTGGAGCAGTCAGCGAGCGTGCTGTCCGCAGACCACTGCGTAATGGGTAGCGACTGCTACTTGACTGGCAGCTCGGTGGGGTGGCAGGTGCCCGAGAGACACGAGATGCACCCGATGGCAAGGGGACTGGCATTGAGCGAAGGTATATCGAGACCCATCCCCGAGTATGATCAAAGGAGTGCAGGCAGACGAAGCATTAGGGTAGCCTTGTGTCAAAGCATCGGCTCATGTTCCGCGCGCGCTCTGCTCCGGAGAGAAAAATTCCCATCCCTTTGACTACCCAAGCGCACACAGACCCATCCGTGGGAAACTGTACATCGAGCATTTCCCATTTTCAGTCTGGTATTTCGTCGAGAAGCCCCGGCGGATGCGCCTGTCCCAGGCGTACCGTGCCTCCTGCCTGGCCCCGAAGCCATACCCAGCTCCGAAACCCCGACTGCTGCACACGGCTGCCTGGATTCGTGCCGCTGCAGTGCGCCCTGATACTCTGGATCCGGAGGTTGATGAGGTGATCAAGGCCATCCATGCCACACCCACCAGGCTTGCCCTCACCGTGACGGGGGGCGGGGTGCAGGTGGGTCCTGCTTGGCGAGGAAGGGCGTTCGCTTGCACCTCAACCTCACAGCAACCCCCAGCTTTTACCCTCACCATTCCACATGCCCACACCGACACAGGCAATTTCGTGGCTGCTGGGGGTCCCAGGTGCCTCCCGCACAGTCCTGGATGTGCAGGTGCCATACTCCCCCACCGCCCTGAAGTCCCTGCTGGGCGGCCAGGCCTTCGCCTCTGCCTCCAGCCCGGACAGCGTCGCCGCCCTGTCCCAGGCGGCATTCCAGAGGGCAGCCAGCCTGACGGCCCTCGGCACACCCGTGGCAGGGTTGGCGTGCAGCGCCGCCCTCGGCACCGACCGCGTGAGGCGCGGGGAGGACCGGGTGCGTCGGTTGGGTTTGGGGGGGAGCTCCTGCCCAGAGCGTGCCGGGGCGCGCGATCCGACGCCCGCATGCCCAGCCTCCCCGTCCACGCTGCCGCCAGGTGTACATCGCCGCGCATGGCACCGGCGGCCGCGCCAGCTTCAGCCTGGTTCTGGACAAGGCCGCGCCCCGCCCACGCTGGGCTCAGGATGCGGTGGCCTCCCGCCTGCTCATCCACGCCGCGGCTCTTTCCTGCGGCCTGCCCGTCCCCGAGGGCGACCTGGCGCGGCGCTGGCTCCGGCTGGAACCGGGGGATGTGCTCGAGAGCGGGCGGCCGCAGCCGCCCCCGACCCTACGGCAGGCGCTTCAGAGCCTGGGCCGTGGTGAAATCACATCTGTAGAGGCGGGTCTGGGACCGGTCACTGCCGGGGCTCCGAGGGGGGGCAGGCTGTACCTTCCTGGCAGCTTCAATCCGCTGCATGCGGGGCACACGGCCATGCTCCAGGTGGGGTGCGATACTTATAATGAAGCAGAGGAGTGTGTGTGCAAGTGGGCTGGGTGGGGAGAGGCCATCTCTTGCAGTTCCTCAGAGGGATCTGCCAGCGATGGTAAGGTTGCACCGGCAATAATAGGCTGCTCCCACCCACCCCCGCTCCCTTCGTCATCAGGCGGCGCAGAGCCTCTGCCCTCAGCTGGAGGGGTGCTACGAGCTGTCGACGGGGAACGCCGACAAGGGCCTCCTGCTCGTGGAGGAGGTGGAACGCCGCGTGAGGCACTTTGAGGAGGCACGCCTGCCAGTGGTCCTGACCCAGGTCGGCTTGGTGGGTCGCGGGGGCAGCTTGCCGCAGGGATTGGGGGGTAGGCAGGGGCTGCATGCAGGAAGGGTCTTGTGGGCACCATTCCTACCGTATGCTGATCCTCGCATCATGCCCCCCCAAAAGTATGTTTGTCCCCCATTCTCCGTCCCTGCCCCAGGCGCCCCTCTACGCCCAAAAGGCCCGGCTCTTCCCCGGCAGCGTCTTTGTCATCGGCTACGACACTGCAATCCGTCTGCTGGACCCCAAGTATTATGGCTCTCGCGAGGACATGCTGCTCCAGGTGCGAAGGGGGGGGACCGGTGGCGCACGATCCTCTGGCGTCGTCACCACTCCCAGCTAGAGGTAGTGTGCACTCACATCTCCAACGCAGCTCGACCGCCTGGGCACCAGCGGCTGCTCGTTCCTCGTGGCAGGCCGGCTGGACACCCAGACCCAGCAGTTCATGCGGCCGGAGGACCTGGCCGTCCCGCCCCAGCTCAAGGTGTGGCGTCGGTGGTGGGACCGCCCGCCTGGGCATGAGGCTGGCGTGGACCGGCATACATGCCCTGGGACAGAGGACTGGGGCCCCAGCAGCAAGAGTGGCGTGGGCGTGGATGATGGGCGGCTCGAGGCACAGTGTCCTGGTCCAGACGCTGTCGTCATGACCGAGCATGCCAGCCACCCTTCCCACCCACCCAAGCGCCCTTTCCTCACCCTCCCATGCCACCCACAGCCCCTCTTCCGAAGCATACCAGAGAGCCTGTTCCGTGCAGACATCTCCTCCACCCAACTTCGAGCCCAGGGGGCGTGCTAATACCATCGTTCGTACAGGGAAGATGTTACTCGGCCGACGCCCCAAAGGCGCAGTGCTAGGACCAGGGCGTCGCTCAAAGAATTATGGGGGCACAGAAAGAATAGCAAGGGTGTCGGGTAGAGTGCCCACGTATGTGCAGATACAGCTGCCCGTTCCTCTTGGAAGGGGGTGGAATTGCCATGTGGATGACCGTGCAAGGACGCGGCAGGACCGGGGCACGAGCTCGTCGGTCTGAAAACAGTGCGTATGTGCTGTCCCAGAGACTCCGGGGGCGGGTGGGAGCATGCGGGGTGGAGAGGGTCAGCTGTGTATCGTGCGACGCCATGCCATGCAGGGGTCCGTGAGCGTGAAACCCGAGGGTGGCAGAGCCGACTGTAAAAAAAGGGTGGGCTCCGGGTGCATAGCTGTAAGCCCTCGGCCACTGGCCCCTTGGGAGGGGTCCTGTCTCCTGACGGGCAAGGGGAGGGGAAAGGCGTCGCCTTCCCCACGCTCATCTGCCAGCGCTCAGGCCGGCCGGCTGCCCCCGCTGAAGTTGAGAAGCAGGTTGGCGGCCTGCGTGTCGCGCTCGCTCGTCCCGCGCCGCAGCGACTCCCCCGCCGCCTCCTCGCGCCGCTCGCCCGTGGCCTCGTGCAACGCGGCGCCGGCCTCCTGCGCTGCCTCGGCGGTGGAGCCGCCGTTGGTGCTGGACCCCGCGCCCTCGGTGGACGGGCGCCGGGCCGAGCCGCCACCGCCGCCGCGCGCGCGCTGGCGCGCGCCGTGCGGCCCCTCGCGCCGCCGCGAGGTCTGGCCGCCCGGGCGCGAGGGCGCCGACTGCACCTCGCCGCCCGTGGCGGTGCCGGTCCGCGCGCGGCGCGCCGCACCGGACCCCTCCTCCCCGGGTCCGATGGCCAGCTGCGCCAGGACCGCAGGGTCGGCGGGGGGGCCGAAGGTGGCGCGCGCGTCCAGCCACCACTTGGGGGCCAGGCCGCCTGGGCGGGGGGGGGGCACCTGCAGGCAGGGGCGGCAAAGTGGCGTGGGTGAGGGGGGGGGTACTGCGATGTGGCGACGCGCGCGGGGGGAGGAGAAGGCAGGGGGGGGGACATACACGTGTGTGTGTGTGTGTGTGTGTAATCAACAGAGCTCGCCCGCCCTGTCGACCCAAGATATCACACACCAGCATGCACCGGCTGTTCCAGTCCCATGGAAAGGGTGAAGACACACACTTGTCCTGCTCCTGGGCACGAGGGCATACCCTTCCCTTCACCCTCCACCAAACAACACCCTTCCCCCTAGTAAACAAACCGACCGTCCCCTGCGGCAGAAACCCACCAAGGGGACCTGCGACGTCCGCCTGTTGATGCTGCTGCTGCTGCTGCTGCTGCATGCGGAGTGGCGGCATGGGCATGGGCGGCATGAACCGCCCTCCCCCTGAGGCTGCGTAGTAGCTCTGGTACCACCACTGCAGCGGGTCCATGGCCAGAAAGCGCGGCGGGCCCGGGCCGTACATGGCCTGGGGCGGCGGCGGGGGGCCCGGCGCGCACGGCCCCTGGCCGGGCGCCCAGCCGCCGTCCAGCCCCGCGGCCAGCACGGTCTGGCGCTGGCGCTGCTGGGGCAGGTAGGCGGGCGTCGTGCTGACCCCGGACACGGGGCGGTGCTGGGCGTCCTCTTCGCCATGCCCGGACTGCCGGTGGTGCTTGCCGGGGGCCAGCTTGTGCGGGTGGTGGTGCCGCGGGCGGTCGATGCCGGCCGCGGGCGAGGGGGCCGCGAGCTCTGCCCTCGCCACGGGCGGGCGGCCCTGCCGGGCCTCGGCCCTGGACGCGCCTTCTGGCTCTGCGCCCGGGGACAGCGCGGCGGCGCCGGGGGTAGTCGCTTCTGCCGGCGCCGAGGCCCCGCGCGGAGGCGAAGCCGGCGGATGCGTGGCCGGCTCTGCCTCGCGCGCGGGGCTGGTGCTGCCGCCGCCCGAGCGCCCGCCCGCGCCATTC